CGTAAGATACGCCGAAATGAAGACACTCGAGCGCGAGCGCAATTTCTCACTTCACATCAACGCGTCCAAAATGTTTGCGCGACGGAAGAGCGCGCTGCGGGTGCCGGGCGACGCACTTAATAATTAGACTCTCACACTAGATGTGGGGAATAAGTAGAACCCCACACTAGATGTGGGGAATAGAGAGTTGGTCAGGAGAAGGGGCCGTTGGCTGAGCCCCAGGATTATGGACATTTATCCTCAAGAAGTTGAGGCTGCTACATTCCTGACTGTTCCGGCAGAGGACGTGCGCAACAAGGTGATGAGCGTGGCTTCCACCTTCCCGGCAGTTCTTCGACAAGCTACCCGTCGGCATGGAGCCCGGATACCTACCCCTACCTGGTATCTTCTTTACAAAAGTGAACACAGGGATCGATGAGCTGAAATTGCGGGATGGGTGGGAAACAAATGGATATCCTGAGCTGTATCTGCCGCTGCTCCGGCCAAAGCAGAGATGCTCATCGTACCCCACACACAGCGCAGCAGGTGGAGAAGTGCCACGAGTGACTGAAAAAGTAGTCACGATTGATAACTTTCAACCGCAAGTTTCGATGCTCCCACCCTAAACCCACCTGGGAAGCAAATGGAAATCTTGAGCTGTATTTGCGGCTGCTCCGGCCAAAGCAGACATGCTCATCGTACCTGACACAGAGCACAGGTGGACAAATGCCATGAGTGACTGAATCATATACACGTTCTGACTGATATCAGCTTGATATTGTTTCGTTCCCCTAGTTGATGTATGATAGCTGAATCCGTAACTTGATATCATATATTCTGATGATGCGATTTCGGAACTCTGGAAATTTTATAAAGAGATAGGATTGTCATCGAAGGCCGTCAGGGTGGCAGAGAAAGGCCATACTGGTTGGAGACCACAACGCAATCCTTCTATCCAGAATTTTGGTCAACGCAAGCTAGGCGTGGCAACTTAAAAAGATCTACGGTTTCTGCTGATTTTAATAGATGACTAAGAAGCTCAGGGCAGGCGCCACCGCACGCAGAGCAGTGAGCGCGGCGATAGCCAAAACGTCCAGGAAGATGTTGGCAGCAAAGCTTGTGTTTTCTAGTTTATCGTTGCAATTTCGCGAAAGGTTTGCATAATTTTGCCTAGTGTAGCATTGCGGGTCTGAGTTCTGCCACAGTTTTGTTCGTTTTTAGGTTTGCTCAAGCAACGCCAGTTTTTGTTTTGCTGCGGTTTCGCAGCCAGTGTTTCGCTAGCCTTCAGGCTTGCTTAAACATTGGCAATTTCGAAAATTTCTAGACTCATTTAATTGCGCAGCAAGTCTGCTAGTTTATAAGCTTGCTTGAACATTGTAAACTTTAAGTGTGCTGCCAATCTGCAAGCTTTCAGGCTGGCTGCAGCAGTCGCAGCTACGGGCAAAATCGAACTGTGCATTGTGGGAAGGTGTGTTTGAAATTGTTTGCCCCTGGTATTGCACAAGTTCAAGCTCATGCAGTTGTGACTTTCCAAGTGCAACTGTTGATCAGCGTTGAGGTCAGCGCTTCAGGTATTTCTGTAGATGGCGCTATTTTGGCAAGCATTTCAGAGCTTTGCTTCCCGAAAGCCATTATAGTTGTCGACGACGAGGTTTCTGGCAGCGTGGAATTCAGTTAATTGATTTATGTACCGTTCTCCACTCTGCCAATCAACGCCATGGTTGCGACATCAGTTGCAGCTTACAATCTGGCGAAGAAGTTGTGCCAAGAATATGACAAACGGAAGAAGGCGATGTGCGGTTACAAAACACAATAATCAGTATGTACCACAGTCGTGGTCTGGGTATAGTCACGGAATATAGTTGCCAGGAGGAGAAGGAGATGAATGTCAAGTGCGAGCACAAATCGGCCTCTTCGGAACAACCAAAGGGCGAAATTAGTCGGGAGCCTGGACGTTGGGAAGCTGCAGGCTGCAAGGGCCTAGCTCGCATCCAAGCTAGTTGCGAAACCGTAGCTCCAGACCTTTGCAACTCGTGATGGAACATGGGTGAGTGCATACTCAGGTCGCAAAGTCACCGAAATCGACTATGGAAAGCACGAGCAAACAGTGAAGGAGTTGGACCGCCAGGAGAAGGAACAGGATTACGCCAGCGACTGTGTGGCAAATTCGACCAAGTGAGCGGTTCCTCTAATCAGATCATGAGCTTTGGGCATTTCACGGCGTAAATGGTGCGTTTAGCTTGATGTTTTGATATGCTCCTTCCATAGGTGCGTTTAAGAAGAAATTGTTTATTTACGTAACAGGCTTCATTACATGTTTGCGCTTCAAAATACAGCAATGAGCGATCGTGTTGGACAGCGCACGTGCTTTTGGCTGTGTCTTTGCCAACTACTTGCAAAAACGGCTTGCAAGAAGACGTCAAGGAAAAGCCACCGAAGCAGCACAATGGTGCACCTTGGACCATGAGCACGGACCAAATTGCAAGAGGCATCTGAGCTGATGGTTCAATGGAATTTTGGTGCACTTGCTGCGGGTGTATGAGCGCATATGAGCACCAAACGAAATGTGAGCAAGCGTGTCACAGTTTGCCAATTCAGCCTTTCCTTCCGGAAGCAGGGTTTTGCCCGCATATCCGTTATGGTTGTGCAGGCTGTTGGCCCGCAAGGTTTTTGTCCATTTCTTGACCCACTTTGCTTGCGCGACCATTTCCGCAGGCCTCCAACGAGCTGCTCTCAAGACCACCAAAAAGAGTGGCAGTCACTTGACCTGAGTCAAAGCAACTTTGCACCGAGGACACAAGAGTGAAAACTACTTCACGCAGAGCTTTGTTTTGAATTTTGTAAAATCATGAAGGCAGCCTTCACTGTAACACGAGACTTTGCAGACCAGCGTTGCAGAATTGCAGTCCGCAGTTGCGAATGTTGTCCGAGGATCTACGAACGAAGCACGGAAGAAAAGATTGCAGCAGCAGAGCGCTTTCGCCAGGAAGGCAACGAAGCTTACAGCACCTGTGCTGAGTTCATACTTTTAAGAGGGTATATATTTATATTATATATGTATGTATATATATATAAATGTATCTTTTCACACCTTATTTCAGTATAGTAGTTTCCATTTTCCTTTCCATCATCCTTAGTTATTCCCAATGTATACCCCACTATACTAACACCAAGGCTCTAGCTTGATGCGAGGCAAGGTGCTTGGAACACGGAACTTCCATTTGTCCATTCAGGAAAGCGCAACTTTGGCCTGGCAGCCGTCCACTACCGGAAGGCTCTGCTTCACTTTGACTACACATTCGCAGAGACGGAGGACCGAGCAGTTGTGCCAAGTTGTGGATTCACTGATGGAGAGTGTTGGAGGGTCTTGGCCAAGTTGGCCGTGGCCGGTTGTGCAGGGAGAGGAGGGCTCAGGTCAGTTGGTATAGTGTGCAGCACAGTTGAGCTCAGAGGATTTGAGGCACCAAAGTCATGATTGCAAACATGCGGCTGTCTGGCAGATGTTTAGGGTGTTTGGTCAGTTTTCATGGCAACCCTTGACACTTTGCAATGTTTCTATGCATCTTGATGTGACTTCATCTCCCTTGCGGAGGAGCTTCAGGATCAGGTGCCGGGCCTATCAAAATGGGGTTTTATCCGCGTTGACTCTTGAGCGGCGCCTGTGCAGGATTTTGAGGATATGTACTGCTCAGAACCCTTTGACTCTTTCAGTCACCGTGATAGCAGTCACTTGACAAAGTATTTGTCATCAGGACACTTGAACTTGTATGCAAGGGATTTCGTTTGTTTTGCTTGATTTGATTTCGGCTCAACATTGTACAACGACCACAATCTTACGTCTCAGGTTTCATGCTTGGGTCGGGGCTTGGGGTCTGTTGCTTAGATGTTTTTTTTTCTCGACTTCCCTACGGTCCCTCTGTCATGTTTAAAGCAACTTTCTCTAATCCGTTGACCTGTGGATTCTAAGAAGTTCCTTGCTGAGGGTCTCAGGACCTCTAATTTTTTTTCTCTGGGGACCCAGCCTTCCTCCACCGTGCGTGTACATCAGGGGCATGGTAGGAAGCCTCTGCAGCGTTTGACGCTTAGGGCTCTTGCATCCTTGACGACTAGGTGGATGCGGTGAAGCTGCCTTGTCTTCTGAACTTGGCTGCGTGCAAGTGCCAGCAGGCCCTTTGCACTTGGATTTTCAGGATCTGGATTTTTCTTTTGCAAAGAAGGATACAGTGGGTCTACTCAAGCGGGAGATTTAATCCTGAACTTCGGATCTCTCTTTTCTGGCAATTCCCAGTTAAGACTAGAGTCAAGCTTTTAACCAGTCCCAAACTTGGCAGCTACCACATGACTGAGAGGCAGGGCTAGCATGATTGAAGCTAACAAGTCTTGATTGCTCAGTGGTCGGGGCAAGAAGCCTCAGTGAGGGTCGGCTTTGGGGTTCTCACGTATCTTCGCTTCGTGGGCTTGTAGCTAAATGTCTAGAGTTGCATTCATGGAGCAAGATTTGTGCACAGCATGTTTGGACAAGAAGCGATGGCGGGACACAGCGCAGTCCAGTGGCATAGGTGTCGACTTTGTTTATTTCTCTTCAGTTGTATTACTAGTATTAATCGTACTAATAGTAGTAATCATACTAAGAGTATAAGTAGGAATAATAGTATCCGTAGTACTACTGGTATTGATAGTAGCAACCGTATTAAGAGTAATAATAGTACTAAGAGCACAAATAGCAATAATAGTATTAATGGCGCTAATAGTACGAAGAGCATTATTAGTACCAAAAGTACAAACAGTATTAATAGTATCATTGGTATTATTATGAGTATGAAGAGTAAAAATAGTACTAAGGCTACAAACAGTAATAAGAGTAATGATAGCTATAATAGTCATAGTCATAGTAAGACTAATAACGGTGTAGAGTAATAGTAATAACGGATCTCGGGATCAGCAGGCTTGTTTGCTGCCAGGAAGACTGGGATGAGGTTCTCACGCAGTGTCGGCAAGCCCTTGAGATAAATCCTCGTGTTACTTGGCATGGAAACTGGGTTTAGGGTTTCAGCTGAATTGCTCTGGTGCAAAAGAAGCTTGTTTGCTAACATACACTCTGCAATAGGTATTCTAGTGTAGGGGACTGCCGCTGTTGGGAAGATGCCGGGACCTGAACGCAAGACCTTCCACTTGCTCCATTGGTTCCTGGCTGTGGGCATGGTATGCACCACTGGCCATGCCTCAAGTAGTTGTTCACACTCGTGCAAGGGTGTTGCCCTTTCGGAAGCAGCCACTTGTGTACATGACCTACAGTCTCTGGTGATTGCTGGCCCTCTTTCTGGTTGCGTCTTCTTGATGAAGTAGCTTTGTCCTGGGTCTTCTCAGGTTTGCAACAGTCTGCCATGGCCATGTGTTCAGCTTTGATCATTGCATGAGGCTGTCAAGGCACACTACCGCTGTGGCCTGGCATATCTGGCAAGAGATGAGTTTGAGCTCGCAAAGGCTCCGACCTGACTGGATCTGTGCACGTTTTCTAGTTCTCCCATGGTGCACGTTCAGGCACAAGGTGCTTTGCAGAAAGAGGGATACTGGTACTATGCAAGACTGGACCCTCTAGGGAAGGAAGCTGGACTGTTTGCAGGGAAGGGCATATGGTGTATCTCACAGACTGACAGGGCGAGCAGCTAGTGCAGTCATTATATACCAAGGGTTGTGGCAGGATGCGCTCACAAGTGCGCACGAGATCGAGCCTTCGAATCCAGATATCACCGCAGCGCTAAAGCAGCTGAAGACAAACATGGAGGACTACAAGACACGTCGGCGCCCCTTGCTAGCACACACAGGCAGGAAGGCGTTCAGGTATGGCTTCCTTTTGTTCACAGCCGCACACATACTGCTTGGATTTGTCTGGACACTTGCAAGAGCTGGCATAGACTATCTCAATCTAGATCTTATCGAAAACTGAACCCAAAATGGTGAAACCCTCCAAAAAGGCAGAGTACCTAAAGCTAGATTTCAAGGTTCTTCTTCAAGCTGTGGCTTTGTTTGGTTCGGCAGTATGGGGAGTGAGGTGCTAGGCCCAAAGTCTTGCAGGATGCCTCCGCGAAGTACTTGCAATATCAGGATCTTGCAATCCAGTATGGGCTTTCTAGACACCCAAGGATTATATCATGTAGGGGTACGTAAGGGGGACCCAATTCTCGAAAACTTCTCTTATGACCATGTTTAGCCTGTGACGATCGGTGATGGGATTCTCATATTGCTGATTTGTGTCAGAAGTTGCGCCAGCAACCCTGCGAGACTGAGGAGACGTTGCAAAGGAAATGCTTTCCGGCAAGGAAGACACTGCAGAAGCAGCTGGCAATCAGGTCCGCTACACCGCACAAAAACTGCAGATCTTATGTAATCACATTAGCTATCTCAGGCAGCCCTTTCCCTATCCCGAAACATCGGCTAGCCCTAAACCCTAAACCCTGAAAGCCTATGCAACACCATATATCCCTACATATCCCCTATAACCCCCATATATCCCTATATATCACCTAAATCCCAAACCCTTAACTGCCGACCAGGACGAGCAATCGCCTGAGGTGCAGGCTGTTGCCGCAGCGGAACAGGCTCGCCTTTGCCGCGCCAAGCTGCAAGCTGCAGTTCTGTCAAAAGGGTTCAGGGTTTCAGGGTTCAGGGTGTAAGGGTCTGGGGTTTAAGGGTTCAGGGTTTAAGGGTTTAGGGTTGAAAGATTTAGGCTTTAAGGGTATAGATGCGTTTTTGAGGGCTGTGGCCTTGAGATTCATTTCTGGAACGAGTCCTCATTCCATCTCTCTTACATCCCAGATTGGTCCTAGATCGCGGCAACCTTAAGCCCCAACCTCCCGTTTTTGATTCTCTTGAGGTCCCCTGTCCTTGGAAGGCGGTCCCGGAAGAAGTGCCTGATGCAGTGGCGCAGAAGGCGACCTTGGGTTTCAATCTCATTTTCCATTTTCTTTTCCATGTGCCATTTGATTCTCCATTATTGGGGTAAAAGGGGTAATATATGGGGATGACGGAAAACAACATAGAAACTATTGTACTATCCCCTAGTGCACGGCCAGTCTCTACTTTGCAAATATTAAGGTGGAAGGAAGAGTGGATCCCTATGGTGATACTGAGACTTATATGAGTGGTTGTCAAAATTATGGTCCCTTTTTGGGTCCCTATTATAATACGGCCCCTAATATTTAGGGTACCCCAAAAAGAGACCATAATTTTGATAACCACCCATATCTTCATCATATCCGGTCACATGCTTCCAAGCCCCCTGAAGATAATCAGGGTTAGAAAGTCAAGTAGTACTGATTGTTGAAACAGCTGTGCATGGCAACGAGGGTTTCGTTGAAAGCAAGTAGACGCTCAGGATTGGGTTAATTCTGACGTAATTAATACATTGTACTTATGATTACAGAATCCAAGAATCCCGAAATTGGTACTAGGCAGGATATGTTTTTGTTTGAGCAGAGTCTGCATCATGACAAAAACGCCCAAACAGGTCACAATCGGTGATTGTGGTACTTGCTGTAACGATCACATCTCGTGTTGTATTAGTTCTTTGACATGCCACTTGTGCACACTCTTATCGTTTGCAATTGGTGTTTCATCTTAGTGTCTTGAGCAGGCTTTGTGGAGTCCAATCATTCTTGCACGTGCAGAGGTTGAGCTTACCTTGCCGCATTCATGGCGGTATTGCCAAATTGACGCAATGCCAGATGCGTGCTCAGTGCGCCTGAGTTATCCCAAACATTTCTGTGTTAGCTGGTTATGTTTCCCGCCCACGCAGGCTTTGTTGTCTTTTCTGCACCCAGTTCTATCATTGTTTAGAGTTGTTTTGATACCTACACGTTGCGGCAAGAGTACGAGAAGCTTCCATGCGTATCCTTTATATGCTAAATGACTTCATGGGAAAGGGGTAGGGTGCGTGAGGTTTTCCCTCTTGAGCCGGCGCTCTAGTGGAAAGTCACAGACCCACTGTTTGGACCCTTTGTATCAGCGGAACCAGCGCCCGACGTGATATGTTCCTGCATGGTGCTATGTCTCGCTGATTGCATGTTGCGCGCATGCTTATGACTTGAGCACCTTTCCTTATCGGATGTTTGGATGTACGAATATGGGATGCTTGTGTTTCCAACGACAGTGTACGACCACCAGAGACACACAGCACGCTCATTTGCACCTGTGTGAAGTTGGCCTCCGTAGCAGCTTCGTCGTTTGCAGGTTTGAGCGATGAAGCTTTTTGTTGAATGTTTTTGAACTCGTGACAGGATTGTCATCCCAGACGGCAGTAGCAGAGTCAGATCATTTGTGTTTAGTTACAAGCTGATGCAGCAGAAATGGGAATGGCTCGGGAAGTTCAGGGTCTTCACGACAGCTTCAGGCCTCGCACCCGAAGTGTCATATGCCAGGTGGGCTTGCGCCGTCGCAAAGGTCCTGTCCTTGGCTGTTTTAAGCCCATTAACGGGGCCCTGGAACTCACAGTAGTAGTAGTAGTAGTAGAAGTAGTAGTAGTAGTAGTAGGAGGAGGAGGAGGAGTAAACAGAACTAGTAGTAGTAAGAATAGTAGGAATAGTAGTTATACGCGTATTAGTAATAATGACAGTAATAGTAGTAAGGGTAAAAGTATATTGGCAAGAATTTTTGTAATAATAGTACTGCTAGTCATACTAGTGAATACTAGTAATAATAGTAGCTCTAGCTACAATAGTAATAATATGAGAGCAGGTAAGCCTACGAGTCTTGAGACGGCAATTCAGGTGCGCCGGAGAGATCTGAAGAAGACGAGGACGATGACGATGCTAATGAGGATGAAGAGGTGCCAGTTTGGATAGGGTTTAGGGTTTAGGGTTTAGGGTTTAGGGCTAAGGGTTTAGGGTTTAAGGTTTGGGGTTTAGGATTTAGGGTTTAAGGTTTAGGGTTTAGGGTTTTGGGTTTAGGGCTTAGTGCATCTGGAAGGGTCAGAGGTTGAGTCCACATGGGTACTAGTAATAATAGTATTACTTGTAATAATAGTAATAAGAGTAATAAGAATAATAGTAGTAGTAATAGTAATAATAGTAATAATGGTGATAATCGTAATAATAGTAATAATGGTAATAATAGTAATTATGATAATGATCGCAATAAGTGTAATACTAGTGCTGAACAAGCTGGTGCCCAACATCTCTGAGACCTGATTTCCGAAGTTCCAACGGCTTCCCAATGCTGTTGTTGCCAGTGTGTTCTCCTTCGTAGATGAATAACAATCTCCATAAATCCCTACAATGCCAGCATAAACCTAGCTTCCATTTAAGCGGCGTTTTGACTGGTTCAAGCCGAACCATGTAGAAAACCGGGCTTTGGCAAATTGACTGGTCACGAAGCCAGAGACGTCAAGCTAGAGACGGCAAAAACATCTCCTTGTGGCCGTCGTTGATGTTTTCTCAGGTGCTTTGGCTGTCGCTCACATGGGCATTGATGTATTGGTTCGACGGGTCTTGAAGCGCTTAGCTTGTTAACAGGTGTAACCAAGTATGAACTTGCTTTTGTGTGCAATCTTTTTCATTTTGAAAGGCTCAAATGTCCAGATGCCTCAGATCCACCTCAAACCACATAAAGCTGTACGCAAGCTGCAGCAGCCCCTGAACCCAGCCCAGACTCCAAATTCTCCGAGACCATCTCCTATCCCCTATGGGCTGACCTCTTGATTTGTACTCTCTTCATCTTCATTGTAATATAACCCCAAGGAATGTCGATCAATACTGCTTTGATAGTACTAAGAGTAAAGGTATTGCTTAGTTGACCCTCCACCAGTAATAGGATCATAGCCCTAAACCCTATGTTAGTGAACTCTTATACCACTTTCACAGGGGGGGCGAGGTCCACCTAAGGTATTTCAGTCTGCTACAGGTGCTGAAGCGGCAAAGTGCTTTGCAGTGCTTGCTGGTGGCAGGCGTAGGCTGGGCTGGGGGGGAGATTTTGAAAGGCTTGGCTTAGGGTTAAGGGTTCAGGGTTTAGAGGCTTGAGTTTTTTCAGGATTCGATGTCAATGCCAGCTTGCAAGCTGCAGACGCATGGACCAAAATTTTGCCAGTGGCCACGCTGCATGTGCCAGGAAGCACGCAAAGAACTATCGTCCTTGCTTGTGGTTCCTCATGTCAACAATCCTCCCGTCACTCAGCGTATGTATTATCAATACACTCCTATGCTTTGAGATGCCGGGAGTCCAAGTCTCTCAACTTGTTTGCGCAACGGCACCTGGGCTGTTACAGTCACGTGCAGCAGTGTCTTGTTGCCTTGACAAGCTGTAGTTTGGAACGTCTTCACACATCTTCATGGACACCTTCAATCTGTCATGTGATTGAGGGCTTCGACAGGCTTTGTGCCCTGCGACCATCTTTAATCATAATTTTAAGATATTGAAATCTGCGGCCAATTTCTAGCTACAGTAGCCCTCAGTAGCCCTAGAGTTGCTGCGTTCCACGCTGGAATGTAGGACAGCTGGGGATGGACAGCCCAAGAAGAGCTTTAACCTTTGAGAGAGGGCCACATGTACTCCAGTGACTCTGTAAAAGGCATGCCTACAAAAGGGATACTGCGAGCACACATGAGGTTCGAAATTCCTTGCCTGCGTTCTTCGTCCTCAATCTGTGATGCATATTCGTTTGGTATGTTTTGGTCCGCCTTACAGCAGCCAAACAAGAACGCTTGCCTGGAAGGTGCATAGGCCAACGACCGTTTGTCAACTATAATCATCCTTAAGGAGGCCGTAGAATCGTGCGCCTCCTTTCCACATCCTTGAACCGCTTTGTGGAGCTATGGAGCTATGATCCAGGCCTGGGTGCGCTCTCAGTGGCTGCCTTGGCTGTGGTCTCAGTTATACACTAAACTTGTGAGTGCAAAGCTTCAGTTTCGGATGAGCTTCCTGGGCAGCACCAAGGCTGTGTCGCTGTTCAGCACT